GAATAAGAATTGAAATTATTATAGTATTTTAGAAAAAGTAGAAAGTTAATTCGATAAAGGGTCTTTAACGTACCCTTTGCTTTATAGCGGTTAATAATATCCTTTATTATTTTTAATTTAGAATTATACTTAGGATTAATATCAATACCCCTCTCTCTTATTTATTCTAAGAAGGCTTAATTTATAACTTTATTTCCCTAGAAGCTTATAAATCGATTACTTTTTATAAATAAAAATAATGCGGCCTAATAAAGGTATTAATTTATAATTAATTATAATTCTTTATTAAAGCGAAAGAAATCAGTTATTAAAAATGTAATTAAATTACTAAAAAGTGTAGGGAGATAGCCCTCTTCTTTATCCTTCGAATTTAAAACTATACTTTAAAAATCCGATAGCGATTATACGGACGGCGATAGTAAGGGCTTTAAAAACCCCTATAGTATCTTTAAATTTAATAATATTTCTAATACTTACGTGACTTCTAAAAATACAAACTACGTTTATATTTTTAAAGGCTTTGATTTTTCCTCTTCCCTTAATATATTCTTAGTCTCGGTAGGAAAATTTTAGACAATAGGGCTAAGAATTCCGTTATTTATAGTAGGTATAGCTTCGACCTATAGGACGTCTGCTTGCGTGATATTTATTTAATAAAGGTTTTTTAATTATATAGTTAGTTTTTTAAGGGAAATATTGAAAGTATTATAAACTTTTTTAACGTTATTACTAAGGAAGATTTCGTTTTTATTAAATACGACGTTTTATATAATAATAATAGAATTAGTATAGGGATTATAAATCTTATAGATATTTGTTAATTAGTATTTAATTAAATAGCCGACCTAACTACGGTCTTTAAACTTTATTAATTTATTCTATTCTTTCATAATTCTTATTATAAAAATAAAGGTTTTATAATTATATATTTTAAAGTATACAATAGTAGGGAAGGGGTTTAATAGAGGAATAATACCGTTTTTGAATTAGTAATACGTTTTAAATCAGTTTTAAGGAGATTTTTAGTAATATTCCACTTTAGGAGTTAGGTTATATAAATATATAATTATTTAATAATTTCTATTAATAGTTTGTAAGGAAGATTTGTATTTAATTATATTATTATACTTTTAATTTTAATAATACCCTTTAAACATTTTGCGCCGCCGTTTTAAATATATATATAAAGTATTAAGGATTCGATATTATTTCCCCTTATAGTAAATTAAGTAGTAATTTTCTTACTATTAATTATTTTATTATTATATTTAATTATCTGAAGTATAATGTAGGATGAAATTTATAATTTTATATAAAGTGATTCTAAATACGTAATAATAAATTCGGCTTTTTTATTACTTAAGTAATATATTTAAACGAATTTAAATTATTATTTTACGATTATTATTACATTTGAATATTTCTAGCCCTTTACTTTTATTTCCTTATAAGAGAAGAAATCGATAATTAATTGTAATTTAGAGCCTTCTAAGTAATTACGAATTTCTTTATATATTTAGCGTTTTAATTTAATTTTAGTATATAATTTGTAATATATTATATCTCATCTTTTAGATTGTACGCTATATTTTTATTCTATTAATTTAATTAAAATTTCGGGTTCTGGGTAGTTAAATCGAAAATATCAGGGAAAGGGCTTAGTTTCTTAGAGCTTTTATATAGTATAATTTATATATTGTATAATAAAAGAAAATTCGTTAATATTATTTTATAAAGGGATATATTTTGAGATAAATTATTTGTATTTGGAAAGGATATAATAAATAAGGCAGTTTATAAGGCGGGAATATAAGTAGTTATTTTTGTAGTTTTAATAAATTTATTCATGTTCGAATTATTTTAAATAAATAAGGTTATAAATTATACCTAGTATTAGAGCGATATTGAAGAATTAGAGCTCTTTATTTCCATTATTATTTTAAATTATAATTATAATAGTATTATACCTTTTTATAGGAATCTGTTTATTTTCCGCTTATATATAATTATTAATATTTAAAGGGGTAAAGTTTTCAAAATAATTAACTTTATTAAAAATATATATTATTATATTTAAATTGAGGATTGTAAAATCTTTTAGTAGGTATATAGCGCTACGTTTTATTATAAATATTAAAAAAATATTTTTATTTACCTAGCGATTATAAAATTAATTATTTTAATTTTCGTTATCTTGCTACGTTTGTAAATAGTTAACGGCCTTTTTAAATATTTTATCTTTCTTTAAATTAGTATACGTATACTTTTTAATACTAGGACTTTCGATTTAACTTTTATAAGCCAATTATAATTTGGTGTAGTAGTATTTATTTAAATTATAGTCTAGTTACTTATAAAGTTTGTATAAGAATTGTTGCGGTTGTTTATTTATTAGTAAAGACGAGGAGAAAGTATATTTATTCTTATTAGTATTTTTCTTAAATTTATTATTCTTGCCTATAATCCTTTTCCATCTCTTTATTTCCGGGTTACAGTTTTATTCGTTATTAGAAGTATTTTTCTTCATAGGTTTATTATTTAATATAATTACGAATATAATATTTTTAAATAGGGGGGTACGACCTTTTCTCTAAGTAGTATTTGCTATTATTATTTTATGAAAATATTTAGTTATAGTATAGAAAGAGATTTTAAAATTAGGGTTTCTTTCAATCTTTTTATTATGCTAGAGTTAGTAATTATTTATTTAAGTAGTATAAAGACTCGATTTTATAATTATATAGAATTTTAGGAATTATAAGTTTAGTTTATTTATTTTAATATTTCTTCTAATAATATAACGGATTAAAGCCGTTTCCTAATAAAAGGTCTCATTATATTAATTATAATTAGTTTTATTAAGGGGTTTAAGAATATTAATGAATTTAATTCGGGCGAGCTTTTTTACTTTCTAATTATTAAAAGCGGTAGATTTATTAAAATTATTATATTATCTATATAGATTAGTACGTTTAGTAAAGTTAGTTTTTCGGTAATTATTTCTAACAGTTTTAAATATTTAGTAATTTAATATAATCTTTTTAATACTTAAGTTAGAAAAGGTTTTAACTTCTATATATTAATCTGATTTCTTAGTTATATAGTTACGATAGTCATGCTTATAATAGAAGCCGTAAAGTTCAGCGGTAGTAGATAGGGTAATTTCCCTATCCTTTTTAGTTTTTTTGGTTTTTTTAGCGGGAATTTCCCTTTAGTAGTTGGCGATATTGGGTTTTGTTGGTTCGGTTAGCTAAGGAACGCGGTTAATTAGGTCGATATATTTTTAGAGACTTAGGTCCTAGGTTATAGAAATAAAGGCATTTTCCTAGGCCGGCTAGTCTTTAGGGCCGTTGAGGGTAACGCTATTAATTTTGGTTATAAATATTATTAGCAGTCATTTAGTCAGTTGTCGTTGCTAGCACTAGTTTTAATGGTCGAATTAATAAGACTTTTAATTGTGATATTATTGGTAATAATTGATATGGTGTTCAACGTAGTTTGATTGTGTGTGTGTGTAAGACTGGCTTTGCAGATTCGAAGCTCTGGCATTTAGATAAATCCCGTATATCCCAGCCCAATTGGGCACGTGCACGCCCAGTGGATCCCCTGGCCTCTGACACATGGTCCCTCTTCCGGTTTACCTAGCGGCGACTTGGCCTTTTTCCCCATGGATTTTCTTAGCAGCGGTCTCGTTCCGTCGACATGACGTCGGGTGTATACGGTCCGGTATCGATTATTAGGGCTATACGAAAGATACGTACCTTCTCTACTTCGCCCTTTTCTAGTGGCCAAGCAGTGTCTCTTGGCGCCAAGTCGCTGGTCCAACCCCAAGTCTCTTCTCTTTAAGACTTTCACTACAACTTTACGAAAAGTCACTGCATCGAAAAACTGATTGCACCAGTAAATTCAGCGCGCCCAAATGGGGGCTTTTTGCTCGGGTTAATTTTATATCGGGTTGTAGTAAGGTTGATACAGCGATTGGAAGAAAATCGCAGGTACTTGGGTTTGGTTTGGCTTGCAAGATGTAGGTGGAAAAGGTACGTATCTTTCATATAGCCCTAATATTTGATTCCTACGGTCCTACACGGTCCTCATCGGTTGTAGAGCACATGGGCGGAATGTTGTCCAGTTCCGCCCATCAAGTCCCACCAAGTGCCAAGACATACATGACTCTTGCAACCACAAGACACAATTGCACAACACCAAAGCAAACGGGTGGTGATGCTTTGTTTGGTGTGATGCAGCAGCTTCATGTCGCAGACAGACAGACAGACAGGTTGTCGAAATAAGCTTTCCCGTCCCGACTATTGATTGCCGCGCCGCGCCGTTATCAAAGCTGTCAAACTCAAAACTCTTTCTTGGCTTCCGCTTTGGGCCGCGCTACGCACTTGCTTCGCCTTATTTCGCAACGTTCGGTGCATGTGATATCGAACATCGATCGCATGCTGCGATGACACTTGACGCAGGCGAGAGCGGGAGCCAAGACCTTGGCATGGCGCCGAGCGAGGTTATACGTAACGACGACAAGACGAACTGTCCTTCCTTTCTCGGATCTGTTTACACCATCAACATCTGGGCTTCGCTTTATATTCCCCAAGCAGGCCCCCCTGTGACAGGGCTTAGGCCCGGGGACTAAGGCAGCTTATTGTACACGCATGTCCATTGGCATCCAACTCCGCTGACAATGTCGCCTTGTCAAAATACATCCAGGCATGTGAGTCACCATCTGGAGTTCCAAGCCCAGATACAAACTCCAGGCACATACATGCAAGACATGCAGGATCATCTCCTCCATTTCCATGTGGCACTCCGTCCTCGGCCACGCGTCAAAATGCAGGAACAGACAAGGCAGAGTACATTCATCCTGGACAGGCACGATGGAGATAGGTTGTTGGATATAGAATAGGTTGAAAGAGGTTCCTACAACTTCCGATCCTCGACCGAGTCATAAACATTACACCCCGACTGCCCGACATCGGAGGACACCAAGCATCTCGGCTAAACTAAACACTACGGAATACTAGAAACATCATGCTAACTTCGTCAAAGCGTTCCCCTCGTCATAACAGACTGAACAGTCAACAGCCAAGACTCCTACAGGTTCTTGGAAGCCCACCCCAGCATCGGCGTCTCGCCCCCATTAAACACCACATACGCCGCCTTGAGCGCCACATCGCCAAAGATATTGATGCCCACCCCGCTGCTACTCTGCAGGCCACCAAAGCAGCTTGAGCTCCCTTCCGTCACCGGGCCGAAGTTGATGAACTTTCCGGGGATCGTGATCCTGGCCGCGGCCACCCCGAAGGTGAAATCCGGGATGGCGGCGGAGCAGGGGAACACATACCCGCCGTACGACCGGCTGTTAGTGGCGCCGGGGATCTGCTTGTAGTACGCCTGCAGGATGGCGTTGGGCAGGTACACGAGCGTGGTGCCCGTGTCGGCGATGCCGGTGATGGACTGCGAGACGAAGGACGAGGAGCCGACTTGGTAGCCACTCGAGGTCCAGGTCCAGTAGCCCGGGTTGGTGTTGACGGGCACGTAGGTGATGTTGCCCGTGTGCTTGGCTGGGTCGATGTAGCCGAAGTCGTAGGTGCCGGCTGTTTGGAACGAAGGGTTGTCAGTAACGGAACAAAACTAAGCTCAGATCTACGACATGGTTGTTCGGTTAGGGTCGCCGAACTCCAGCCAGATGGCATGACTCCGGTGTCGGAACCCCGGAGTGCTGGAGCTCCCTGTACTTCCCATACTTCCCCGAGGGCTGACGACGTCCACCCCAAATCAAATCGAAAAGGGAAATCAACTTACAAGCACCATACTTCAAATCCGCCGCAAACAGCGGCTCATCCAACTGGCTCATCACATTCTCGAACCACGTCTGCTGCTGCGTCGGCTGGACGGTATTCAAGCTCCCGAAAGCCAACCCAACCAGCCCATCGATAGCCGTATCAGCCGTAAAGCTCGAGCTCACCTGCTGCGCCGTCTCCACCGCCTGGTTGCTGACCGTCAGGCCTCCGATCGTCACCTTATCCAGGTAGACCTGGCCTTTAGACGACGACCCGTCGCCATACGAAATACTCCAGGTGGCGCCGGTGAGCTTCTTGGCTGTGGAGGAGCCGCTGGGGTTGTAGACCGTGTGGCCGGCTGACTGGCTTGCGGGGAGGGAGTTGGAGAAGACCCAGAGGTCGGAGGAGCCGGTGTCGAAGTCGAGGTTGAGGGTCTGCGCGGGGGTGCCGATGGAGACGGGGGTGATGTAGGCTGAGTCGTATTGGTCGATGGGGTTGGCGGGTGCTGAGCCTTCTTCTCCTCCCTGGACGTCCTCGGTTGAGAGGCCAAGGTGGTCGGCGACGGCTTGGAGGAGGTCGTCGGGTACGGGGGCGCCGTATTTCAGGTGGGTCTTGTAGACGGAGAGGGCGCCGTTGAACTTCTTGTGGTGGCGGGGGTTACGCTGCTGGGAGAGCGTAATTTTACCGCCGCTGAGTGGCTGCGGCTCCCGAGCCTCGATGACGGTGTTGCCGATGCGCGGGGGCAGGGCAGACCCGAGGCCGGCGGAGGCGAGGACGGTGGTGAGGATGAGGTTGGTGAGGGCTACCATGGTGACTAACGATGCTTGTGATACGGCGCTGAGGGCTGATGTTTTCCTGGACTCTGGAGTGAGGGGCCTCAGGTCTTATATGATGACCACCACGACTCCACGAGGTAAGTGAGTGAAGTATCAACAAGGTAAGAAGACCCGACCAAAAGAGGAAGGAGCAATTTCTGGAAGGTGGATGTGGTGACTGGGGGTCGAAGCTTATCTATGTGACCTCAACCTCACATCCAGTCAAAGAAGCTCCTTCTCACATGCGGATTTATCCCCACGCTTTACGGCCAATTACACCTCGAGAAGGACTTGCAGGCCGGCACTCAAATTTCCGGGACAAAGCCTGGAGAACAAGTAACCGCTTAAACAATCAACCAACCCCTGGAGCACAGCCCTTTACCACCCGTAGTACACGTGTGACTTGCAAAGAACTCTTTCACCACTTTTAGGATGGCTAGGTGCGATGTATGTGGGACACTATTAACTATTAGCACTAGCTCGGTTTGGACCAATAGGACCGCCGTAAATGTCCTCTGCCTTGTCCGAAGACAGGCCTCGCGCTAACTCAAGTTCACACCGCCTCGGGGTGACACAGGAACGAATGGAGCCAAGGCCTTGGTCTTGAAGCTTTGAAACCCCTGCAATACGGGCCGATGAAGAAGGACGTTCCAAGGCGGGATGTAGGAGCCTAGGCACGCCGTGAGAAGGTTTACAGCCGAACGAGCGAGCGGATGTCTCTCGCTTTATGAAAGCCGCCTTGGCGGAATCCCTTTACGTCGCAGCCTCTCCGCAATGTCATATCTTGGCTGTCGTTGTCGTCTCTTGGCTGTCGTTGTCATCTCTTGGCTGTCGTTTAACGGTTGGAAAAAGAAGAGTGAGGTTACACATCGGGTGTCTGGATCGACGGTTGGAGAATAAACTACTTTACCTGAAGATGGTGGCGGCTGCCGTGGTGGTATCGTGGTGCTTGGCTGGACGCCCGCGCCGTTTTCTGTCACGGTCTTTTCTGTCTATCAATCGCCCACAGATACACACCACACCCTCATTTCCCTCTGCCAGCCACTTAACCCGTCCGCCTTCCCGTCTTGGCTTTGGTTCGAGACGAAGTGGCTTGCATGGGTTGTAGGGTGTATCTGGTATGCCGGTAAACAAAATGACAGGCAACCTCCATTGCCTATCGTTGCCGTCACGATTTGGTTGGTTGGCCGGTTTGAGGCGAAAGACGTTACGTGAACGACAGACGGCAACTAGAGACATCAACAACCTGCCAAGGACGGTTAGATGCACAACGACATAAAGTTACATAGAGTAGGCTACACAGCCGGAGAATGTCTCGATGAATACGTGATTTTGCGCGATGCCAGGATGCCAGCCAGGATGCCCGCAGCCAGCACATATTCGCCAGTTAAGCTTGCCGTTCAGCGTCCAGCGGCTGAGCGGGCTGTTGCACGACAGGACAGAAAAAAAAAGTAGGGCAACAGGGCAAGTTCAAGGCAGGGAGGCAGGCCGCAGGCATCAACGTGGTTGACGGGGTGGTTGACGGGGGTTCTTTCTGGTGTTCCTTGCAAGCGTTTCGGAGTTGGGTTTCTAATCGAGACAGGCGAGACAAATTAGAGGAAGTGGAAAGGTAAGGGCAAGTCAAACATTCCAGGTTCGCCGGCGATGCTGAAGTGTTCGACTGCTTGATCCGGACAGGAACTTGTGAACTGTTTCTTTCCAGCTGTGCGGCTGGCGACAGGACTCGGATAGATAGACACGCAGAAGGAAATGGAAAAGGTTCCAGGTCAATTCGATCGGTGTCCTCCGAGGAAAATGATGTTCGGGACGGGAGAGAAGGTTTCGGCAAGCGGCTTGAACGGAACCGGAAGGTGCAATGAACGTGGGCATGACTCGCGCACTGAGCAGTGAGTGGTCTCTCCCCGCTTAAAGCTCTTGTGAGGGAAGGAGCAAGGAGATTGATGCCATCCGGAGTTCGAGCTTCATCAACCCCCGGGCTCCTTCCCAATCTGTCTTGGCGCCAAGTCCTGCGTCCACCCCAAAGTCACTTTTGCTCGATACTACTTTCACTACTAGTCTCAGACCTCAAACCTGCTGGACCTCCGAAACGCGCCCGCCCGCCCCACCCCCTTACACCACCCACCAATCAGCGGACGGGTATACTTTTCTACAATAATAGGTCTAAGCCAACTTTGAATGGTTTAGGTGTTAACTGCTAAAATTAGGGTTAGAATTAGAGCATACTCTAATTAAAGTAAAGTTGTAATATAGTAAAGTTACAACTTTAATTAGAATAAAATTTATTAAATTGTACAATTAAAATTTTATTCTCTCTCTATATAATATATTCTAATTAGAGCGAAGTTTATTAAATTGTAATATTTTATTCGCCTAATTCGATTTACTATTTGTTTTAAGAATCGCTCCTTCCGGCTTTACCTAATAATTATTTAACGTTCGCGCCTAATTCGCCCAACCTTATATCCGAATTTTTTATCCTCTAAATTAACCTAATTATACTAGTATATTTAATACCATATATTATTCTAAACCCTATAGCTTTTAATTCAACCCCTTACCCAATTCTATCTCCTCTATTGAATCTAACCCCTTACCTATCTCTATCTCCTCTATCGAAGCCGACTAGTCCCAAATTTTAAAATAGGTCGAATTCGGGTCCTCTATCGAAGCCGATTAGTCCCGAACTTTAAAATAAATTAAATTCGGGTATTTACAATCCGGATTAATACTTCGCTCGTATTACTTAAAAATATTAGGCCCGCCTTAACTTTAAGAGGAGGATATTAAAGTAATTTATCTATAATTAAATAAAGGTAATTCGAAGCGATAATCGGCTATCTAGATCCTATATTAAGTAATTTATTAAATTATTATAAAAATAAGATATACGTAAAGTTCTTATTCGCTATAGTATTATAATATAGTTTAGTAACGAAGATTACTTTTATAATTTAAAAAATCTCTATTAGGAATTTACTTCTCTTCTAAAATACTTTAAATTATTTTTATCTTTTATAAAGTTTAATACTTCCTCTATTTTAAATAGTAGTAAGCTATACAATATCGCCGATTTATACGATATTAAATAAGTTATATCGGTTATAAAGGGGTACATTACCGATTTACTTAAATATATACTTTAAATATACTTACTCTTCTAAAGCTTAATAGAATATACATACGTATATTAACTATTTCATAAACTACGAACTCGCTATAATAATATTATTTCGCCTATAATATATATAATTTTTACAATTATTAAAAGTATCATTACCCCCGGGAACTCTAACTTCTTCTTATAATTTATAGGTTTATATTTATATATTAATAGCGTAGTAAGGCATATCTAAAATATATTAATTATATTCAATATTTATATTTCGTATATTAAAACTATAATAATAATTAAAACCTTTACGGATACTAGAATAATTAGTACCATTACTTTTTATATTATAACTTCAAATTTACATTTTTAGGCTAACTTTAAATATATTATTTCTAATCCCAATCTTATTATCGTCTATAATAATTATAATTATTTAAATACTATTTAAAACTTTAGTATTAATTGGTAGGATATAATGCGTAGCTTTACTACCTATTTATTAATAAGTAGTCTTAATATATATAGCCTTTTCCGTCCCGACTAATTCCGACCTACTATTCTATTCTAAAAGAAATAAATTGTTCTAGTATTTGCCTAAACACTATAAATATTTCATTCCGCTCTCTATTTATTAGTAACCGATAAATTATAATCCCTCTTTCTAATCCTCGGCCAATAAAATAGTCTACTCTATTATACCTTCTCCAAAATCTAATAATATTGGACGCTAATAAGTTTTATCCTTCAGACCCCCGCTATTAATAAAAACGAAAATAAACTTATAGGTATGAATTACCTATATAATAAACTATTTCTCAACTTTCTAAGTATAGATTAAATATAATTTAGTAATAGATTTTTCCTTATTTATAGTAACTAAAAGACGACGTCCTATATTCGAAAAATTATATTAATATCATTAAATATATAGGACGTATATAATTGTAAGTGATAAATAATTCCCATCCTTATATTTTTTCATATTAAAATAAATTTCATTAATTTAATTTTTCAATACTTTTAGCCTTTTATAAAATAAAATATATATAGCCTTAGGAGAGTAAAAAAGATAAAAGAATATAAAATTAAATTCTATTATAAGTCGTAGCTTTTTTATAATATATTCTATTCTAAAATTCTTATTTTCTTTATACGAAATTTAATCAACGTCTAATTTCTAAATCCTACCCTCCTTAATTAAGAAAATATTAAAAGTATATTTTCAGCCGCTATTCAAACTAACGGACCCTTTTATCTATTTATATAATTTGATTACGTTTATAATAAAATACTTACCTAATAAAAATATACTAGTAAATATATAAGGAGAAATAGAATTAGTATTAATATCCAATTCCGTAGTATATACTAGTACTTTTATATTATCTACGTATTAATTATTCTTACTCGTACTATCCAATTCGACAACTATAATATATTCCAATAAATTATTAATTATTTACCATTTTTCTTCTATAGTAGAAAGGCTATAAATTATAGGCCTAAAATACTATCTTTTTTATAACTCCTCCGATTAGAAATTACTAATAGTAAATTATTTAAAATTATTCTAAAATTTAATTTAATAAAAGCTACTATAATTAGTAGCGTATAGAAAGAGATCAACTTAATAGTAAAATATATTAATCGCTCGTTTACTATTAATATTAAATATAATAAGAACTCTACGTACAATATAAAATCTACCTTTATAAAACTATTAACTATTAAACCCCTTACTACAATTATTCGTAAACTAATAAAATTAGAATTTAAGTAATTTAATAGTAGTAAATATACTAACCGGTTTACTAATTTGAATATTATCAATTATACCTATATAATATATAAGAAAAAGTTTACTACGTAGCACTATAGATAATTAAATCCTAATAATTTTAATATATTTAATTTATAATATAATAGCCTACTTAAACTATTTTTAGGTGTACTCAAGTAATTTAATAATAAGAAAGTACAATTAGAAAAGGAAAAGGATTAAAAATATTTTAATCTCTCCAACTGTTATAAAGACGACCCAATTATGATTTATAATTAAGGTAATAGATTATTTAACGCCCAAAGTTCGGGAGACGAAAGTAATAGTAGATTAATTTAAAAGAATAATTATTTTAAACCTTATCTAAACTAATTTATAAATATAATCTATTATTTAGTAATTTATAATATAAAATTTATATATAATTCTATTACTACTATCTATAAACCTCCTACATATAAGCGGGCTTCGCTCTAATTAAAATCGGTAGATAGAATTAGAATATCGGTTCTCAATATAATATATTCTCTCCGTACCTACTAGCCAATCGACTCCTCTCTATATACTAATTAAACCGTTACCCTATATTAATTATATTCAAATTACTAAATCCTTTAAACTTTATAACCTACTAATTAAATCCGAACTATTAAGTTTTTTAAATCTATAACCTACCTACTACACTTCGTTCTAATCAGAATTATTAAAATATATTACAATTTACTATTCAATTATTTTAATTAAATATCTTTAAACTATTACTAAATTATTCGTTCTTAACCTTCGCTCTAATTAAAATCTATTTTATATAGTAAATAAATATAGCCCTACTCTAATATTCGCTATTAAATACTTCGACGTTTATGTATAATTAATAATAAAGGATCTACTCTAAATTCTATATTAATTACATTATATAATATATTAATTATATTTTAATCTAATTAGCATAAGTCTTATATACAAACCGCCTACTCCTTACCTCCCTTTCTCTTTCTCCTTCTCTCCTTCTCTATTTCCTTAATTAATTATATCTATTATATATAATTCCAATTAAAGTAAAAAATATAAAAATTACTAATTACCTGGAATTTTTTTAATATAAATATACGGGCTATTAAAAGATAAGTACCTTAAACAAATAATAGGCAAATAATAAGCAAGCTTTAAATTTAATATATATACCCTTTTAAATACTAGAGCAATCGATTTAAATTACCCAAATTACCTAAATCACTAATTTGATTTTTAATTTTAAAGGTTGCACTCTAATTTCGAAAGTTATATTTAAAACGACGATTTTGAAGAGGTTGTTGAAATAGGGAAAGCTAA